CTAGAAAACGTATTCCCCCTAAAATTAATCCTAGAACAACTAAATTTCATCTTGTATTGATGACCCCTTGTTTGTGAGTCCCAGTCAAATTCAAAAAAACACCTCATTTGAAATTGAGTCAAAACCCTTAATTATTTTAAACACTTGGATCTTATGTCTAGTGTATACTATCAAGGCTAGGCCTAGGCCCTAGGCAATTATTATTATTATAATACTATTAGTACTGGCCTATATAGGGCCCTTGGCTGATTTCGATTACAAATCAACCATTTTTTCTCAGAACCAAATACCATCAATTGATGCTTTTAGCATGATGTTCCTCTGCATCATATAGTGTATCAAAAGCTTATATTTTACCAATTATTAATTTATTATGTCTGGTTTTTTTTTTCAATTAGGATGTGATGTCAATGCAGATCCAGCTCCATTGTCTAAGTATGTGGTAGCATTTGCTAGAAAGACAAAACCAGAGGAACACCTTAGAAAACTATGCACTGATCAACTGGAAGTGTTTTTACCAACAAGTAAGTAAATCCTACATTCTTCCAGATGAAACACAAGGACAGCAGCTGGTAGAATTCAACAGTGGTGGAGTTGAATACATCAGTGGTTGACATGCTAGCATTCTGGTCCCAGGATTGTGAGTTAAATTCCTGTAACAGCAGGAATTTTACTCATGACTGAAAACAACTCCACTTCCTAAGCCTCGTAAAGAGGCTTAGTTTATAAAGCATTGTTCTTATCCTGTAAGTGGGGAGTGTACTTGCTGTTGGATGTGAGGGAAATTAAAAAAAAAAGGATAACTGAGCTGCTTTCAATAAAAAAAAGTGGCTGGAGGCCCATATCTAAGAAGAAAATATATTTCATACCCCAAGCAAAGAAATACAAGCAACATATTAAGTGCAAACTTTTTCTTGTTTTCTTTCTTTTGTGAACATTTGTATTTTATATGAAATTAAATAATTATGCAAGAAATTAAATGCAAAATGTCAATGATACATAATTATTTATATTTATTTGTTAAGCATATTAGATATAGTAGCAGTTAGTAGGGTTAAAAGAGAGAGTGAACCACTTGACACCTCGTTACAGTTGCACATTGTACATTTACGGTAGGGTGTAACAGTGTCACTAAGAAATCATATGCACATCTGAGAACATTAAGTTTGTGTCGACTATAGGATGCAGAATGGAGGACTCTCTGGGTTAAAACATTTGGAGACAGACCATGCTTTTATTGATATAAGCCATTTGTTTTACTTGTCCATATATGTATGCATGTGTTTGTTCATGTTTATTTATGACCTTGTTCCTTCTCAGGTTATTGATGAAGACGATCAAGACTACCAGAGGTCCAGAAGGACCCGGAGCACAAGTGCAAGGTAATGTTAAATCATCAAATATCATTTTAATATAATTAAACTTTATATGAACCACAAGCCTTGTTCACTTCAGTTGAGCCTTTGAGCAAGGCTGTGAATTGGAATAGAGCTGAATATAGTTGCTGATTATCATGCTTGCCTTCCAATACCAGGGTTCTGTTCAAACCTTATCACAGCATTTTATATTTCTTTCTGCTAAAAGCTTCCATTGCTCTCTTGAATAATTAATAAGCATCTTTCCTCCTGTAATTGAAAGTAGGAATCATAAACAAAAAAATTATTAATAAATTACAACCTGCCTACTGTAGTTAAAAACTTTAAGTCTTACATTTTAACAATAGTTTTAATTTAGAATATTAATTAAGATAATGTTTATTTTTGTTCGGTTCTTTTGTTCATAACCATCATACCATGGTTTTATCTCTAATCCTAAACTATTGAATGTAGAAATCATAAACAAAACAATCATAAAAGTAGCAACTACTTTCAATTCGATAAGAATTATTGATAAATTACAACTTACCTATTGTAGTTACAGACTTCCAAATCTTACAATTCTGCATTAGTTTTAATAAAGAATATTAATTAAGATTATATTTGTTTTAAGGTTTTCTTGTTGTCATAACCATGCATGCATGTACTTTTCCCCTAAAAATAAGATGTAGCATGTAATTCAAAGTTTTATTTGAACACACCTACATTTTTTTTAAATAAATAATTCTGAATAGAAGTACGCTGTGATTAATATTTGAAATTCAACATTGTGATTCTACAATAGAGATGATCGTAGAAGAGCTAACACTCAAGATGAGGACAGGGGGGGGGGGAGGCGAAGAGTTGATAGAAGATCTACTAGTCGAAGGGGTGGATAAAGGCACTGAACGTTGGAATACGTCAAAAGGTAATGCTAACATTCTGCAATGCATAAGCATTATGCCACTGGACCACCAATTGTAATCAAGAAATTGTATGCTTAACTAATAATGATGTGAGTCTTATGAAGCATTTAACACAAAACAAATGCTTCTAGGCACTTTACACAAAAAGAACACAGGAAATAGAATGTTCATATCAGTTACTCTGGTCTCAGTTATTCTGTTGTAGAGTTGTATTTATACTTTGCAGTGAGTGCATTGAGACACAGACAAATACCTTAAGAAATCAACATATCCATGTGCTATACTGTAGGAAAATGTCAAACTTGAAGGGACACTGATGGCAAATGTTAACACAGGGCATTCACTGGTCATTATTGACAAGGTATTACTCACAGAGCATTACTCACATAGTAATATCTGTCCAGCTTATCAAATTCTATTTGACAAAAAACTGTTGTATGCCCATATATAGTCATTATGTACCTATACATGGTCAGAATATGATGTCACCATTTATTTAGACATAGTCTAACAAACTAACAATAGTCACACTATTGTTAGAATGTACCACTGAAAGTTGTCATTGCAAAGCATTTTGGTGTGAGTTCACACTCGCTATACTGAAGGATTACTAGCGGTAAAGCTTAGCCTTACCAGTCAATCAGAGTCGGTGGCTGATTAGTAAGGTTAGGTACTACTAGCTACAGCTTTAACATTGGCGCTAATTTGAGCCACTCCTCGCCCATGGTTTATCTATTAGAACTAAGTCTTCTCAGTTAAGAACTTGAAATGAAGGTCCAGTGTACACATCTAGCTTGTGTCCACTTTAAAAGATTTATTGCATCTTTCGGAGGAATAGGGGGTTACCCCGATCCTAAGGATGTGGTAGCTACTATAAATGCCTCTTTACTGCGACTAGGTAGTCATGGACCACGCCCATACTAATTCAGCACAAGGATGCTGGGAGTTATAGGTTATCCTCCACCTTCCTACATACTTTACTACTGACCACGCCCATACTAATTCAGCACAAGGATGCTGGGAGTTATAGGTTATCCTCCACCTTCCTACATACTTTACTACTGACCACGCCCATACTAATTCAGCACAAGGATGCAGGGAGTTATAGGTTATCCTCCACCTTCCTACATACTTTACTACTGACCACGCCCATACTAATTCAGCACAAGGATGCTGGGAGTTATAGGTTACCCTCCACCTTCCTACATACTTTAATACTGACGACACCCATACTAATTCAGCACAAGGATGCTGGGAGTTATAGGTTATTCTCCACCTTCCTACATACTTTACTACTGACCACACTCATACTAATTCAGCACAAGGATGCTGGGAGTTATAGGTTATTCTCCACCTTCCTACATACTTTACTACTGACCACACCCATACTAATTCAGCACAAGGATGCTGGGAGTTATAGGTTATTCTCCACCTTCCTACATACTTTACTACTGACCACACCCATACTAATTCAGCACAAGGATGCTGGGAGTTATAGGTTATCCTCCACCTACCTACATACTTTACTACTGAGCAGAGCCATGCCCATTTAGAGGGCAGGCATTTTACTAAAAGTGCGTTGAATTTCATCTATTAGGTGGTTTACATGTAGTATAGTGGCAGCATTTAACAATTGAATTAAATATTTTTCAGGAAGAGGTCAACACGATTACAGGAACAAAGACCAATCGGCAAACAACCAGCACATGGATTGTCCGGACCATCTCAGTAACATGGCAAATGGCATCAGCACATGTCTGGGAAGCAAATCCGGTAATAACAGACCACAAAGTAGAGGAGGCTTTCGTGGAAGAGGACGCAACAGGGAGCACAACGAGGAAACAATAGAAGCAATTATGATCATCCAGTGCCTCAAAATCTAAAGCCACAGTGTCAGGACTATGAGGGTATGTTACGACTAAGAGTTGCTTATTAACAAAAATAACCAGACCTTGTATGTGGGCTGGTGCCAACTTGCAAACTTGCAGTATTCTTATACGCATCTAACTTGTAACTCCTAAACTGTTGTTATTTTGTAGCCTTTGACCTGAAGCAAGGGATTACCAACGATCTGTCCGGCCATCTTTTGGGCGGTCAACAGTTATTTATGACGGCCACTTTTGCTGTGGTGACTTGGACGGTTTGGCCTATTCAACTAGGCCTAGCTTAGTTGGGATTGGTCTACCTTTAGCAAATTCTTTATATGCCTACTGTACGTGTATAAAATGTTGCAATAAACTAAAGCCAAATTATATTTACATTTGATAAAACAATATTTATTAAATGAATTTGCGTTGATTTCATACCAACATTTGGTGGGAATTCCCAAAAATGTAATGCTAAACCATTGTCTACCGGGTAAAAATTTCACTTACAACACACGTATTATTTATGTTAAAAACATATTTATACCCTGCTAGAAAATGGACGGTTCTAAGTCGCCCACAACACTGTACTTCATGCACATGGCTCTTACTTCAGTAATGCATAGTTGGGTTTGGAATTTACACTAGACTAGGGCGAGATGGAGATCCATCTGCATAGTCTAGAAAAGTAATCTGAGTAAACAATCGTAGCCGTCTGCAGCTATAGGTAGGCAACGCAGGTAGCCAGCCTAGGCAAACTAAATTTTATACTTCCAAGGCCTAGGAATTAATGTACCATTAAGATTACGATCCTTGGAGAACTGATAAAAATAATAGTGATGCATCTGGTCATGGCGTACAATTGCGAAATATGATCAAACATGCCTAGGGCCATGCTACATACTGACTCTGTTTTCTTTATTGATTTTATTCTTTTTATCTTGATTAATTTTGTTAATTATATTAGATTCTGACACTTATTTCTACTTTCTCAAATTTACTGTCTAGTCAGAGCACATCATTTAGTGCAGATGATGTTTTCACAAAGGCTGTTGAAATAGGCCGATTTTGCCATTGACACATGTGCAGATATTATGTAAAAAATACCAAGGGACAGACTTAAAAGTTGTTATCCAGGACCCTGGGATTAGAAGGCAAGCATCTTAACCACCAAGTTATTCAACTCTACTTCAGCTTTTTATGTATGCATTCAATTATCTATATTGTAATTATAAGCATTTGTATATAGTCAATAGCTGGGAGGAAAACTGCTATATAAAAGTTTAAATGTAGCTGCCAGACTCATTGCTCTCACGTCTGAGTGTTCCCTACTGTACATCTTCCAATTGGTTACCCATTCATCTGAGAATTAACTTGTTATTTGTATAGAAGTTACTCCATAAATCATTCTCCACTACATCTCCAATCTAATTTCACTATTCTGCTGTTTGCACCTGGTTAGGTCTACCTCATCTTCATCATCTACCATTCTTAACTACTGGTCACCTTTATACTTGTGGCAATCATTCTTTTATTGTTGCTGCACCGAAGCTTTGGAACGAATCTCTTGAGACTGTGTGAGTCTCCATCTTTGACTGGCTTCAAATCTTGGTGGCTCAAATCACATCTTTTTTTCTTTATATTAATTCTGAACTTGGTTCCTTTTCATCTGGTTTTTGTTTTTAGTTCTTCCTTTTTTTGGTGCACTTGGGCTGTGGTGTCTTAGTGCATAGAGAAGATTTGTATAACTGGTCACCTTTATACTTGTGGCAATCATTCTTTTATTGTTGCTGCACCGAAGCTTTGGAACGAATCACTTGAGACTGTGTGAGTCTCCATCTTTGACTGGCTTCAAATCTTGGCGTCTCAAATCACACCTTTTTTTTTTTTATATTAATTCTGAACTTGGTTCCTTTTCATCTGGTTTTTGTTTTTAGTCCTTCCTTTTTTTGGTGCACTTGGGCTGTGGTGTCTTAGTGCATAGAGATAATTTTGTAATAAATAATAAATTTATATGTAAGTCATATTTAGTGCATTATCACAGATACTGTAATTCTCGAATAGAAGCCCATGGGCTACTTCTATTTTTAGAACCCTAGAGATGGGCTTCTTTTCAAGATTACTTTTCAAACTGAAAAGGGGACTTCTTTTCAAAAAATAATATTGTGAATATTTTGAATTTGCTAGTTTAAAACCTTGTAGGACTACTAAAGACCTTTTTAATTATGGAATTTGCAATCCACTTCTTGCTCCTAATCAGTCATCTGATCTGTATGCGGTACTCTGTTTGTTATTGTTTTGAAAGCTCGAGTTAATACACTGTAAAGATCGGTGAACTATTTTTGCTGAGTGTGTCTGTTGTAAACGACACCATAATTACTGTTTCTCTATTTCTAACATGAAATTTCTGTTACAATATCGCTAGCAAATGTTTTAATGAAATGAAAACAATCAACTTGAAACGATTCAAGCCCGATGACAAGAGAAAAAATGTGACTTTGACCTCTGTCAGTCAAAAAAATATGGTTAAGCCCTTAATCATTTCATTTTTTATTATTCAGATTGAAGAACAGTTCAGAAAAATTTTCAACGAAATCAAAGGTACTCCATATGAATGTCATGTGAAGAGAACAGTTTACGCCATCGACAACCA